TATAAAGGGGGTAATCTTTGGAACCGCTGGTCGGATTTCCAAAATTCTAGATAGCTACAATGTTCCTGAGTGCCATAGGCTATAAAACAACACGCAACGATTAAATGGAGCCGCGCAGCGGGTGAAACCGCGTGATAGTAGTTAGGCTTTAATATAAGGATTACTGTAAAAAAAAAATGAATTCATCATCGCTTCGTATACAATCTATTGTTAGTTTTTAATTGCACTACAATCACGAAAAATTTTCTGAAAAGTTTTCAAACTGAAATGACGTCACATATCATCATTTGCCTGTAAGTGGCCATTGCTAAGCAAAGGCCTTTTCTCACACGAAGAAGATTAGGTTATTATCTATATTTTTCTCTACATTTAGTGTACATTATGGAATGGACATGGACAGTAGCAGATCTATGGCGCGTAATTAATTCCATAAGGACGTTTGCAACATGTTACCGTGAATGCATAGCGGTGCAACTTGTCTATATTGCGACTGAGCAATCTTGATAGTTTGAATATAAGTATTTAATTGTATATTTTTTTCTATCTTCTTAAGAAAATTTTGTACGATATTACGATTCTTCATGTATTGTGGATGCGTTTACAAATATACAAGTTAATACACCTACACATTACATTTAAACCCGGATGCGAGTCTGCAGCGGCGAGCAAGGGTAGCTGGTCACCCGACCTAAAGCATACAGCTTTTCGCATACTACATGCCCCTCAAAAAGACATCAGACCACTACAGATGGGGCTCACAAGGGCTGATGTCCAGCATGGGTTGCGGATGCAACCGCAATAATGTACATCGAGACGCATTTTTTTTTGTGTAATGTTAACGTCATTAGGTTTCTTTGTACATTTTATAATTTGAAAGTCGCCTACATTTCTATAAATGACGAGCATTGTAGATTTGAAAACGGGCTCATTAACCACTTAGTTAAAAAAATATAGGATATAAAACTACCTAAAGCTATATCAACCAGTCTTCATTCATAATCCAGTCCCAATATATCAACAATGATCACAATGCAAGTATCAACATCATTCGAGCCGACTTCAAATAGTCATAGAAGGCGAAATCCCCGAAGCCTAATCGCTTCATTTGGTTGACATATCATAATATATGACATATATTATACGAGTGCTATCTTCCATTTGATATATTAGGTAATTAGAACCTTATTCTCTACGCTAATGAGTTTAAATTACACTGCAACTGATTGCACTGAAAAAAGGGGAGGAAATGGTGATATGCGAAGGTTTTTTCGTTGTAAGTGGAATTATGTTAACGATAGAGACATTACTACTCGTAATTCTTAAAGCCTTTGGAAGAAGGAAATATTGTTTAAGAGGGAAATGTTTTATTAAGATTTTGACGTAAGAAATTCTCAAACTTAAGCAAATAGTTTAGCTCATTCATTATGAGATGATTAATTTTAATAACTTATATCAAATCTACGTTCAAGAGTTTTATTTTTATTTTTTTTATAAGTTAGTATTTCGTACGTGTCGTGTAATTTGTATCTCCTGGGTCTTGGATGCGATGTAGCTAGTAGCCCAGTCACCGCGTCAATGGTCGCATTTCATTAGAATAACACTTTAATAAGTCCGCTTAGTGGCCATTTCGTATGACCTTCTGTTGTTATCCTATGATACGTGTATTTCCATTTGATATCTATTTTATCTGCAATAGTGTGGCAAACGAGCAAACGGATTGTCTGATGGTAAGCAATCGTTGCCGTTGCCGACCTTTTGAGGGTTAGGGATTTGGAGATTCAGGAATTGGGAGAGGATAAGAAGGTTGTCAACACCGGGAACCTAACTCACACGGTAAAACACAGTAATATGGTTGTTTCACCACGTCTTTCTGTGAGGCCGTGGTATCACTCCGGTCGGACTAAGCCATTTGTGCCAAAACATGGCTCTCCCACACTTATTTTGATATAAAGTTATCTTCATCATGTATTTACAAAAACCTACTTTACATATTGGCAAAAAGTTCTGTTTTTTGTACAGCACTATGTTTAAGAATAGCTCAAATTGTTCAATGCCCTTAAAAAACAATTGCTACAAAAATAATCATCATCACTCTCATCGACAATTCCTTTTCAAAACTGCCAAACCGTCTCTTTGACATACGTGTGCTTAATGAGCACAATTAAGTGTACGCCATCCATTGCTGGTCGGGTGCTGCAAACGCAAGCTCGGTGAGAGCACACACGGCAGCGGAATTAATGCTGCCAGGGAATTACGGGTCCGTGGAAGTTGTAAGCTGAATCGGGATTGGCAATTTTGCTATTTGATAAATATTTTTCTAGCTAGCCTATAAGTGCCCGCTGCTGCTGGAGAAGGTTTAAGCATGAATCACCATGCTTGCTTAAGCTTTGACTACCGACATAAAACTGTTGAAAGCAAATTCTCCGCTAGCGGAGGTCACCTGTGACCCCCGTGGCTTTTAACGTGTTAAGGTGAATTGGTGATGTCAAACTTATAATGAGAAATAGAAAGGCTGGAGTAAGGTGATTTTAGTCGACAACAGTTTAAATTATCGCGCCCTAAAGCGTTTCCTAAAGCGGGAAGTCTTTGCGTCACTCGACCGACCCGACCCATTCCTGCCGAAGCTTGTTTTACACACACTTAAAAAAAACTCCTGTAAATACTCCATCGAGCGTAACAACTTTCAAATAAATCCTAACTTATGTTATAAATGCGAAAGTAACTCTTTTCTTCACGCCTAAACTACTGAACCGATTTGTGTGAAATTTGGTACCTACAGACATAGTTTGGAACTCGAGAAAGGACATAGGATAGTTTTTAAACCAAAGATCTGCAGGAAGGCACTATTAAATTAAGCGAAGGAAGTCGAGGACCAAAGTCTTTACTACTATTATAAAGAGGTAAAATTTGTAAGTTTGTATGTAGCGAGTAATCTTTGGAACCGCTGGTCGGATTGTCAAAATTGATAGATAGCTACAATGTTCCTGGGTGCTGTAGGTTATAAAACATCGCTGTCGCATCGAAACGCTACGATCAAAGCTGAGCAGCGGGTGAAAAAGGTAAAAAATAATTTCCCTGTAAACGTATTATCGCTATCCGCTTATATCTTGTACTGTACGTATTCCCGCTAAGTATTCAGCTGGGCCTAAGCGAAGCTGCACCACGGTTACATCACTCAGTTTGCAGCTCGGTGATACCTCGTCAATGTTTTGCTACCGACCGTGTTTTACTCAGAAACTTATGTTGTATACATAAGTAGAGCACTCTATGTGTGAGTTTAAAACTGTAAGTTCCATAACACCTAAAAGGTATATGTTAATATTCTTCGTCTTTACCAACTTACTATGGTTGCTCTTTACCTAATCTCAAAGTCTTCAAATTCCTTATCCCCAAAAGGTCGGCAATGCACTCCTCCGTTGTTGCGGATGTCCATGTCCAAAAAATGTCTGTTCGTATGTTTTTTCTTGTGATGTGTTGGATATTGATATACATGCTAATACATGCATTACCTCATTGTCGACTAACCACCAGTATAACAACTTAGTTTGAAATAGTGGTAGTAGTCTGGCATTTGGTAAAATAGGTGACCTTTTTTAAATGAATTCCAATAAATATTCATCTAGTAAAAGAGTATGATATATTTAATGCACCTCTGTCTAACTAATTGCAGAACAAAAATTTATTTATTTATGTATTTAGGTTTTAATAAAAACAGTATACACCTACAAATGACCTTTTAGATGTAGGTGTAGGTACCCTATTTAATTTTAACCTTTTTCAACTGAGATTATGGTGAATATTAACAAACGCTGTCAGTTTCGTGTCTTATCATCAACATTTCGTCCTTATTGCCTTTTACATGTCAACTGGGTTTACTTAGTCTGAAGGAAAAAAAAATATCTACATTGATTTTTTCAGTAGCTCTATAATTTTAGCCACAAAACATTAACTAGCGAAAAAAAACTGGCCAAAATGACGAGCCAGTTCGCCGCAGAAGACACTTCGGACGTTGGAGATGACTCGCTAGTCTGCGGACGGCATGCAAAGGATAGCTCGTCACCCGACCAGAACCAGACCCGAGCGTGTGGCACGTCACATTCCACGTTAGACTACAGGCTACAACAAGCACTATACCTCGCAAGGTCCACCCTCAAGGAGATCACATGACCTGGTTAGTGACAAGGAGTTTATTTACCTTGTTTTATTCTGACCTATTCATAATCATCATGGAGTCACTGCAAGTCTTTCACATTTTGCTGTAGTAGGCATTCGATATGGAACAAAGAGCAGAGTCATTAGGCTAACCAAATCATCGATGAACAATTACACTACATAGCAAGATGGCTAAAGAAACAGACAAACGATTATGATATTAAACAACCACGGAAATAATTTACCTTATAAATAATTCCAGGCTCCTAACCTGAAAAGAGTCATTCATACTGATATCCCTGAGCTTACCGTCCACCGCTGCTTAATGGGTTAGTGAAGCTGTAAGCCCATGCGAAACTTTACGAATTGTCGGGTATTAAAGGGCAGGTCACATCGCAAGCTATTTTATATTATAAGCTGATTTTACGGAGCAAACAATATCGTGGATTCATACAGCGAATACAACTATTGAGATTATTTACTTAGGGCTGATTTTTCGATGGTTAGATAAAAGTTACCTTGGGAATAATTATGATGCTGTCGCGTCAGAATGTTTGTATAAGACAGTGACAGCAACAATTTTATTCCTCAGATAACATTTATCTGACTATTGAAAAATCAGCCCTTTGCTATGCTAATTCAAACACAAATTACTTATTTTTTGGGATAAGTCTTCAATTAAGTAGAATATTGACCGGGTTAAGTAATTAGCCTCCTTCTTCGCGAATATGCTACGCAGAAGAAGGTCTCACCTGACTCCTGTCCAGCACTAAGGCCGGCTGCAATAAATCGCCACCGCCAATTACGTCTGAAGATACTGCGGTAGTCGGCTCAAGAAGGGGACACTTCTATTCTTCTTCTTCTTCTTCTTCTTCTTCTTCTTCTTCTTCTTCTTCTTCTTCTTCTTCTTCTTCTTCTTCTTCTTCTTCTTTTTCTTCTTCTTCTTCTTCTTCTTCTTCTTCTTCTTCTTCTTCTTCTTCTTCTTCTTCTTCTTTTTCTTCTTCTTCTACATATTCTTCTTTTTCTTCTTCTTCTTCTTCGTCTTCTTCTTTTTTTATTGTTCTATTGTTGATTCGTCCGTTTCTACGAGTTGTCTTCACAGTGATGACACGCGAGCATTTCCTCTCACTGAATCCGAAACAGGTACCTCCCGAAACTTCCTTAACGTGTCCAGTAAATACTTGCATAAAGCGAAAGTTGAGGACGTTGGTCGCCTCTCAAAATATTCCTCAAAGAGTGACCTTATCGTTGCACAGTCGTTAGCCGCTCTGGCATGAGATCGGCAGCAGAAACAAGAGGAGACACGTGCAAGTTCCTTCCCCTCGCCGGGGTTGCGGGTTAAGGCCGGGGTTGCGAGTTAAGCACAATGAGTCACCGCAGCCTCGGCCTCGCAAGAGAAACAACGGGGGGTTTTTAGTCAGTAAGAGTCTGACACTTTCTCTCGCCTTACCCTGGGCGGGAGAAGTCATTTGATGATTTTCCCCTGACAAAAAAGTACCATCCCCTCCAAATCCCAAATAAATAGGGCAATTGAAGACGACACGACATAGCAAAATGAACGTTAAAATAATTCGCTTAGCTTACAGTTTACAACCAGCATAACATTACAAGTAATTGAGTTAGACATATCTCAAAGATACCGGATTAGCCCTTTAACATCATATTGATTTAATTAATATTCCCATGACTTGGGATAGGGACACTTAATAGGACAGGTTTAATATCCGATTCATGAACTTGAGTTAATATTCATTAACTTGACAAGGTTCAAGGTTGGAAGTAAAGTTTTTAAATTTGAAATATTTATTACTATTTATGTATTCCAAATTTAAATAACATTTTTTTAAAATATGTTAAATTTTATACGAGTCTTTGTATATCAATACCTACAAGTGCAATTTGCTTAGTTAAATATGATGTTTTGAGACCCTTCGACCCTACGATGAAAACTTTGCAACGGTTTTGCAGCTTTATAAAATACTAGCCGCTCTTGTATAAAATACTCCTTAATTAACTTTGGGAAATAAATATAATGAATTCTAAATTCAAAATCTGTCTTTGATTGTTGCCCAGTTCGATTCCCCTTTACATTTTCATCAACCTTGCACGGAACAACTCTTTGTGTGACCCACAAATTGTTGTTCCGAGTCTGGGTGTGATGTGTATGTGAAATTGTATCTTTGTAACCGCACACACGACACAGGAGAAAAATCCAAGAGTGGGGCAACGTTCACAAAATACATATAACTTGGAAAAAATCATATTGGTAGTGCCTGACATTTTTGTAGTCTAGGTAAAACATATGTATCTAGAACTTCAAAAATCTGTATTTAATGATTTGTGGCACGGGTTTCGCAAAACTATATTATCATAGACGATGATTGCCCAGTCCGTTTTCCCTATACATATCAAAAAACCCTTTGGAAACCGAAAATTTATTAACACTAAATAAGTCCCGTATTTATAAGGACCGTGTTCATTGATCACTGAGTAACGGGCGGTTAGTTAACTCCTCATTGGTAGTTAGTAAGCGAATTAACGGTAACGCACAGTAACTCTACGTGTGTGCCGTCGAGATAACAAGTGTAAACACACTCTTCATTGAGACACACTGGCTTAAGGGATGGCGGATTTGTACGGTGAGTTTCGAAAACTTATACAAGTAAAAAATTTTATTGTATTATTTCATTATGTTTGTTTTACATTACACTAGCTTATGCCCGGGAATTTGTTCGCGTGGAATCGGGTCATCCTGCAGATTTTTGGTTAAAAAACTATCCCATGTCCTTTCTAGAGTTTCAAACTATGTGTGTACCAAATTTCACACAAATAGGTCCTGTAGTTTAGGCGTGAAGAAAAGAAAGACATGCAGACAGACAGAGCTACTTTCGCATTTATAATATTAGTTTGAATTGTACCTTGTATGTAAATAATACGCACATATACACATATCTAACTCGTATTTCTCCTAAACCGTAAACTCCAAAAGGTCGGTAACACATTAGTAACTTCTCTGATGTTGGTTATCAGGTCAATGGAATAAGCATTGTCATGCAAAAATAGGTCGATATTATGGTGATGTCCAAATAAAACAGGTACTTACATGAACAAATTACCTACATCTATTTGTATCTTGGAGCATTTGCACATTGGCACTTGCGAGCTTGCGAACAACCCTTGGGTAATGAATGAGACTCGGGAGACTTGACCTCCAAACCACCATGACAAACATTTCTTATGTTTTTTTTTATTATTTGTGAAAATCGTCGTAGAGGGAGTGTCAGACTCTAACTGACTGAGACCCACCCTGCTCTGTTTCCTGCTTCAGACCATGGCGGATTTACCTTATTGCGCTTGACTTCTGACTGGATATGGGCCCTCCTAGGCCCCATCTGTGGTGGTCTATAGGCGCTTGCGGAACGCTTCGCACCATATGCTCGGGATAGTCTCATTATCATCAGCCGAGAGACGTCCACACCGCCTAACGACAACTCATATTCTGTATCCATTGGCTCCCTGCAACTCTGCCGAAGTCTTCGGTCCATCTAGAGAAAGAGCTGCCTACGATACGTTTTCTGGTCCGTGGTCGCCACTTGAGTACTTTTCGAGACTATCGGCCATCGGTACTTCCTAAGACACGCTCATAAGCTATCATAATTATTCCGCTCATCTTTCCCCCCGACAGTACGTCACCTTCATAACTTGCTCTCTCACACATATAGCAGAAAATTCATTAACATAATATATTGTAAACAGCTGTAAAGTAGGCGAATAGACACAATACCTAGCGACAAATTTTACTGTGTTTGACCAACTTTACTATGATATTGAAAGTTGTATGAGGAAATGTAATAAAAAATATTCAAATATATAAAATTTCTATTAAATATGTATTGGAGAGACATACTTCGGCAGGAATGGGTCGGTTCTACCGGAGTGATACCACGGCCTCACAGAAAACCGGCGTGAAACACCCACAGCGTTATGTTTCGCTGTGTGAGTGAGGTTATCGGAGGCCCAATCATTCCCCCTCCCCCTATCTAGTGCCACTCCTTAAAAATGTTCGAAACCTTAATCCTAAAAAGGTCGAAAATGCATTCCTAACTGCTTTAGTAGGGTGGTGTGCATGGGCGGCGCTGATTGCTTACCATCAGGTAATCCGTATGCTCGTTTAGCCATGACTTAAAAACAAGTCTTATAACTAGCTTCTGCAGGCCATTCCAGGATAAAAAACAGTCTATGTGTTATGCCAGACTACAATCTATATCTATGCCAAATTCCATTAAGATACGTTCAGTAGTTTTTAAGTAAAAAAGTAACAAACATCCAACCATACTATACTAAGAATCTTTCGCGTTTATAATGTTACTAGGATTCCTCTTCTAATTGAAAACGTTAATTAATAATGAAAACAGACTGCAAGACTACAGCATACCACTTTGTTAATGAAACTCCCTAATTGACTCAAGACAATATGACAGCATGTTTTGCTCCATTTCTTATTATTTTACCGTGCAATAACAGCACGTCAAGGTATACTCTTTCATCAGAAGATTCTCAACCTTTTTTCGTTTGGTAAAAAGTTCATAATCGATTGTAGTGTTGCTACGTGTCGGTTTGTATAATTTTGTCTAACTTGTATGCGTACAATTTCGGTTGAATTTGTGTAAAGAATAATAAACAGGAATAATATTATTGTTGTTGGTAGTAGAATTTCTTTGAATACATTTTTTTATAGTAATGTGTAGAGTACCTACGTTGGTCGGCACAGGAGCAAGGTATCCATAGTTCCTTAAAAAAAGTGGTCCTATTCATGCAAGTCATGCAACCATACCTATTATCAAAAGCAAATCCAATGAAGAAGAAAAAAAAAACAAATGAAAACAACATTTTAATAAATTCACTAAAAGAACTGACCAGCAAACTGACACTTTTTGTGTTTAAGCTTTATTCGAATTTTGACTTCACGGTAGGTACGGTGGCTGGCTGCCGTGCAACGTGTCACGGGTTCGATTCCCGCACGGAACAACACTTTGTGTGATCCACAAATTGTTGTTTCGGGTCTGGGTGTCATGTGTATATGAAATTGAATGTTTGTAAACGCACCCACGACACAGGAGAAAATCCTAGTGTGGGGCAACGTTGTTAATAAAAAAAAAACAAAAGTGCCTGTTTTTGTCGCTACACCGGCCACTATCCTGTCTTGAGCCGATTAAAGAGCTAATAGAGCACCACAGCGGGATTGCTGAGCAAACGCATTAATTTACTCTGGCCTCGGCAGGAACAGGATAAGGAACAGGGTGGGTTTTAGTCAGTAAGAGTCTTTCACTACCTCTCGCCCGTCACAGGACAAGAGAAGCCATTTGACAATACCTCTCCCCCTCAAAAACAAAAGGTAATCACTCCATAACAAGAATAGCACTCGAAACCCCTTGCTTAGTACTTAAGTAGTCGTATTTACGACTATCGGAATTTAGTATCACTGGATTTATTAGTTTTAAAAATAAATAGTCTATCAAACAAAATTGATAATTAAAAGTGTAAAAGGGAATTTCACATTCTTAGCATATATTGGCCAAATTTTATTTTTAAATAAGAATGAAAATATAATATAAAACAATATGTATTTATTAGTGTCATATGCATATATTAAAACTAATTAAAAATGGACTATACACTTATATAAATAAACACTAAAATTTGAATGAAGTTTATTTATTAAATTGTATTTACATTATTATGTATTCAAACTAAAATACATTTAAATTTCACAGTAATAGTATCGCTTTTTGTATAATATCTAAAATTAACATAATTAAATAAAATTATTTATAAATAATTTAAATATTACATAGAAATTTTGAAATCACATTTATTACTTTTCAAAAAGAATCTTATACAAACACAATAAGGTTGAAAACAAAATTTCTTCTGTGTTTTTTTTTTAAATATTATACACGTATTTTTTATTTTCTTACAGAATATTATTTTTTTTCTTTTACCTTTACATAGTTTACATATTCATTTAAAATATTATGTAAAGGCAGGACTTAGTAAATTTTAAACTGAAGCAGTGAAGTGATTAGTCTTTCACTCTTAAACTGAAATTCATTTTAAATAAATCTTAAAGTAAGAAATACGTGTCTGACTTTTTGTTCTCGCTCATCATCATCATCATCATCAGCCCTTTTCAGTCCACTGCTGGACATAGGCCTCTCCTATTGCACGCCACTGGGATCGATCTTCGGCCACTCGCATCCAGCTCCTGCCAGCCATCTTGCGCAAATCATCACTCCACCTTGCCTGAGGACGTCCTACATTACGTTTGCCGAGACGCGGTCTCCACTCAAGAACTCGTCTACTCCAACGGTCATCGGTTCTTCGGCTAATATGGCCAGCCCACTGCCATTTCAGCTTGCTAATCCGGTGGGCTATGTCGATTACCTTGGTTCTCTGCCGGATCACCTCGTTTCTGATTCGATCTCGCAGAGAAACGCCGAGCATAGCCCTCTCCATAGCTCGCTGAGTGACTTTTAGCTTGTGAACCAGCCGCACCGTCAGTGTCCACGTTTCGGCTCCGTATGTCATGACAGGTAGGACGCACTGATTGAAGACTTTCGTCTTTAGGCACTGTGGGATCGACGACGTGAAGACTTGACGCAGCTTTCCATATGCTGCCCAACCTAGCTGAATTCTTCTATTCACCTCGTTCTCGAAGTTGTTTCTACCCATCTGCAATGTCTGCCCGAGGTATACATATTTTTGAACGACTTCGAGAACAGCGCCGTGTACTGCAATCGGTTCCGGTAGTACATGTTCATTGAACATGACCTTGGTTTTATCCAAGTTCATCCGTAGGCCGATGCGTATAGAAGAGTCAGCCAGGTCATTCAGCATCCGTTGTAGGTCCTGCAGCGTTTCTGCTACGATGACGATGTCGTCTGCAAATCGCAAGTGAGAGATGTACTCGCCATTTATGTTGATGCCGCGTCCTTTCCAGTTCAGCGTCTTGAACATATCCTCCATTGCATTTGTGAACAATTTCGGGGAGATAACATCCCCTTGTCTCACACCTCGATGCAACGGTATCGGCCTTGTTTGCTGATCCTGTACTTGGACGGACATGGTGGCGGCCTCGTAGAGACATCTCATCACTTGGATGTATCGCCAATCTATTTGGCATCGCTGCAGGGACTCCAGAACAGCCCAGATTTCGACCGAGTCAAAGGCTTTCTCATAGTCCACAAATGCTAGGCACAGGGGCTGATTATACTCCTCAGTCTTCTGTATAATCTGCCGCACTGTGTGGATGTGGTCTATGGTGCCGTATCCGCTCCGAAACCCAGCCTGCTCCGGTGGTTGGAATTCGTCAAGTCTTCGCGCAAGGCGGTTCGTGATCACTCTCGAGAACAGCTTATAGACGTGGCTTAAAAGGGAAATGGGTCGATAATTCTTCAGTAGGGTTTTGTCACCCTTTTTGAAGAATAAGACGACCACACTCCGACTCCACGCCTCTGGAGTTCTCCCTTCAAACAGGACAGCGTTAAATAGCTTTTGCAGCTCCCTGAGTACCGGTTTGCTGCCTGCTTTTAGAAGCTCTGTCGTAACGCCATCCTCTCCAGGGGCTTTTCCATTTTTAAGCTGTCCAAGAGCGATCTCGATTTCGTCAATGCTGACTTCTGGCAGGTCTTCGGTGTAATGGCGTATTAAAGTGGCTCTAGAGTCCTCATTTCCGGGGTCAGGTCGAGATGCATGCGAAGCGTATAACCGGCCGTAGAAGTTTTCTACTTCCGAAAGAACTGCCGGCTTCGAGACAACGACTTCTCCACTTGTTGCTGACTTGTTCTCGCTGCCGCTGACGAACTATTTACATATATATATATAAATATACTTAGTCGGGTCATAAGTTCTGTCACAAACTTTTGATGTAATAACTTATACGCCTTTTGACAATTATTTAAAAATTATATATGAAATGAAAGGTCATTAAATGTACAATATAATTTTATTTACATTATTCGAAATGCCCTCCCCCATTTTGAACACATGCCCTTAATCTACGCGGCCAGTCATCGATCGCTGCACGCACCACATTCATATCTATGTCTGCCGCTGCTTTAACCAGAGATGCTCGGAGAGACTCCAAATTCGGGTGAGGTTTAGCACAGACTTTTTCCTCCAAATATTGCCATATCTTGTAGTCCAGTGGGTTTAAATCTGGACTAGAAGAGGGCCAGTCTTCATGCCGGATGAAGTCAATTCCACGAGCGATCAACCAGTCTTGCGTACTTCGTGCCTTATGAGCCGGTGCAGAGTCCTGTTGGAATATCCAATGCCTGTTCCTGAACATTGTCTGAGAAAGAGGTTCCACTATGTTTGTTAGGACAGTATTTTGATAAACTTCGGCACTAGTTCTCACACCTTTTTCACAGAAAAACACCTCAGTTACGCCTGAATATGAGACTCCAAGCCAAACCATGAATGAGGAAGGGTAATGCCCACGCTGGACCCTCGCAATACGCGCGCTTGCTTCTTCACTGCTGTGGGCATACACCTTATCATTTTGTTTGTTAAAACTTTCTTCAATAGTAAAAATTTTTTCATCCGAAAAAAGAATTTCGCGGTATTTTTTTCCCGCGTACCGTCGTAGCAAAGCGCGGGATCTGTCTAGCCTAATTTTTTTTAAACGCTCGTTCAAAAAATGTCCTGTCTTTTTACGATAAGCTCGTAGTCCCAGGTCTTCATTTAGTACTCTTTTAACAGTGGTTCTGCTTAGCCCCATCTGCAGAGCTAGGATTTTTTGTTTACGTACGGGATTTCGTTCGATTCGCGCCTTCACTGCTTTGATGACCTTATGTGTCCGAACTGTGCGAGGTCGGCCGCTTCTCTTACGATCTTCGAAGCTTGACTCTTCGGTGTATCGTTTGATAGTACGATAAACAAACCGTAACGTTATTTTCAAATTTTGAAGAATATTGAAAATGTCTTTTGGCGCGTAACCACAGCGGTGCAACGCGATAACCGCGATTCTGTCTTCTTTATTCGACCACTCCATATTTAAAAATGAATAAAAAATAATTTCTTTTTTATTTTCTACAAGCGCGAAAGTTCTATTTTTAAAATAAGTCGAAGAATTTCTGGCCAGTAATCGAAAATTAAAAATATAAGGTTTTGACAGAACTTATGACCCGACTAAGTATATGTTTCTTTTTCATATCCTATCATTATCCGTATTGCAATAATGTATATTTTTATATATATTTTTTTGGCTTTGGTCATATAATAATACCCGAAAAGAATAAAACTAATACTAGTATCAAACGAAGGAACGATATGTTTTGAATTAGAAGCATGATTTAAATTCACTCGAATACCAAGGCAATATTTCTTATAATTTTAATGACCGAACTCAGAGACATTATCAATGATACCTCAAACTATTTATTAATTAAAAAAAATGTTCCACTTGAAACAAGTTGCTAAGAATTAGGTAAATATAGGTACATCCACAGAATTAAAAAAAAAACAGCCTTGTGTAGCTAAATTGGGGTATACATTCAAAAAGTATTTTTAAGCTTAGTTTTAAACAAAGATTAACACTTAGAATAAATCCTAATTCCAAAATCTATGTTTACAACAGATTATTAAAAATAACACATTTTTTATGTTATAAGAAATGCTCAAAAAAAATGAAATATGTACTGAAAGTATCACCAATTAACACAATGTTTAAATTAGTTTTTTTGTCTAAGGATCACTAGATAGGACCCGCAACTGTTTTAACCGCCAGTTTATTTATTTGTTTCTTCCATGACTTAACTTAAACACAATAAAATGAAACGCGGTTAAAAAATGCAGCAGTTCCATCATACTGTGGTGTTTTTTCAAAATAGATAAGCTAAAATCTGGATAAAAATACATCAGCTCAGTCAGAATTTTACCACTAAATAATAATCAAAACAAATAAATCTAAAATAAATGACTATTTTATTTCCATACTAGTCAAAATAATACTTGCTTGCTAGCTGACTCCTAAGCAAAATTCTTCCTCCAAAACAGTTCTTTGAGCAACCAGAAAATGATGAGCTTCATCTTACTTTCTCTATCAGTGTAGACCTCGCACTGATTATCACGTCTACAGCAATGGTCACAGCAGCTCCCGCAATGATGGTCATGGCATGACCTTCGTTCATGACGGCGGCTTTCCCGATGTCCACCAGAAAACCATCTCCAAGGCCCTGGCCATTGGCTGCGCCTTCCACAGCAATTCTCATCCGGTTGCTTGAACCATGGATGAGGAGAACAACTGGATCCTCGTTTACAGCAATGATGTCCATGACAGCAATCTGTTCTGCGTCGATCAAAACCATGTATCCCAAATGGTCCAAAGGCAGGGAAGCCTCCAAAATCGGGACCAAATGGTCTGCCACAGGGCGTGTCACTTTGGATATTCGGAGCCATATTCAAATTTGTTTCGTCTTCTTCCTTCAATGGAACAATTTCACCAACTATCATTAAGTCTATTTTTCTATGATTGTCACTAGTTTTTTTTATAGGATTTACTTGTTCTCACTTTGAATGTGTTCAATAGAATACCGCTCGTATCGACGCTCTTGAGTATTTATGTTCGCTAATGATGCAATACTCGCCATAAGTTTCAAGTGCAGATGTACTGATTTGATGATGAAATGAACGTTTTTTGTTGTTCGGATCATTTTTTTTTTTTTGTTAACTTACCTGTTAAAGATATTGTGAACAACGATAAATAATATTACCTCCTTGTTATTCTTTAAAGGAGTAGACAGCGTATATATAATCTTTTCGACACTCAATTGAAAATTTCATTGTTATGAGAAAACTCTTCTCAGCTTGGATCAATATTTTCTGAAAAGTTCGAACGAAGTTTTTTTTTATGTGATAGGACGGCAAACGAGCAGACGGATTACCTAATGGTAAGCAATCGGCGTCGCCCATGGACACCCGCAGCAAAGAAGGAGTTACGAGTGCGTTGCCGACCTTTTAAGGATTGGGATTTTGGGGATTTAGGGATTGGGAAGGGATTGGGGTAGGGTAAGGATTGGGCCTCCGGTAACTTCGCTCACATGGCGAAACACAACGTTGTGGTTGTTTCACGCCGGTTTTCTGTGAGGCAGTGGTATCACTCCGGTCGAGCCGACCCATACGTGCCGAAGCATGGCTCTCCCACACTTAGTAGAAGTATGGTGTATGAAGCTGTGCTTGATGTATGGCGTTAAGATTTCCACTTATTATAAGCGACTATATGATTGTCATAAACGACCAATTAGGAAACATTTTAATGACAAAAACGAGTTTTTGTTATGAGATGGGAAAATCATCAAGTCGCTTCTCTCGACCTGGATGGGCCGAGAGGTAGTGTCAGACCCTTACTGAATTTAAGCGCAATGAGTCACCGCGGCCTCGGCCTTATCCTGGGCAGGAGAGGTAATTTGATTATTTTCCCCTGACAAAAAAAGACTCTTACTGACTAAAAACCAGTTCCTGCTTTTGATCCAGGCCGGGCCGTGGTACAAATTACGTCAGACCCGTAAATCTGGCTGTTAAAGCGTGATATTACATTTAGGTCCACATTACCATATAAACGTCAAAATTCGACTTGTCATTAAAAGGGTCAATAAACCTATCACGTGTATATACAATATATACCTTATATATAGCGCGTAAAGTTCAGTTTAGTTAACAACACATATTATTTCGTCATATTAAATTTTACAGTTAGAAATATTGTTGGTCGACGTGCCATTAATAAATTAGTACTATGACCACTGAATGATGGAATTATTCATTATTATGAACTACCATACTTTGTACTGCAACAAAGTTATATTATCACTGCATAGTATAGAACAAAGGCGCTATCTCTGTCCTTATGTATGCTTAAATCTTTGTAACTACGCAATAGATTTTGATGCGGTTTTTTACGATTCACTTTTACAAATTTTTTCACATTTTTTACCATCTTTGGACTTCAATTCAGATATTTCGAAACAAGAAACAAGTTTCGGCACGAGTGGGTCGTCTCGATCGGAGCGATACCATGGCCTCACTGAAAACTGGTGTGAAAGAACCACAGAGTTTTGTTTAACCGTGTGAGTAAGGTCACTAGAAGCCCAATCCTTTCCCTCCCCCAATTTCTTATCCTTCGAAAACCTCGTGTTAAAAAGGTCACCATCACATTCGTAACTCATCAGGTGTTTCGGGGGTCCATGTTCAGGGCTGATTGCTTACCATCAAGAAACTAGTATGCTCGTTGGCCACCCTATCTCGAATAGAATCCGAGGTCGACAAAATTAATATAATGATTTTCCCCTTCGAAAAAAGTGTACAGATATTCCAGTCATCTCGTGTCAGACAAAATAAGGTAAGAATCTCGAAATTTTAGATAAGTACCAAGTTCAACAGTTGTATAAAGTTTTATTTGGACATCCTAAAACTTACCTCAAAACCCTATATACTGGAGCAAGGTATCTGCATCTGTCAAGGTCGAAGGTCACAAAAATCGTTTTATTTTTTACATTTTCTTCAAATATCTCGTTCCCAATAGGGTTTGCGTGATTTGTGTTCATAAAGAATATTATAGAGGATAATATTATCTACAAATTTTATTAGAAACATTTTTTTATACGTCGAATCGTTTTTGAGATAGAGGGCAGTGAGTGCGCAGTGTTTAACTATGTAGAATACCATTTGACCAGAAGGCCCCATCAAAAACACACCTTATACAGTTATAAAATGTTGAGGAATATAAATATAATGGAATTCGGTTCGTCACATTTGATTTCGGTTCGTCCGAATGTGTCTGAAACAACTTTCCGAGGTAAAACTACCTACTAAGATAAGTGATTTATGCGTTTATTAGGTATTATTTTGATACAATATATTTGCAGTAGGTGTAGATAAACGTCATTAACCAATACAGTTCTTAACAGATAAAATAGTTTACAAAATGACGAAATCAATAATCAATTTAACAATATTTTGGTACCTAGAAATCTAGATAAAATTGAATATGAAATTGAGAACAGCTGTTGTTTTTCTTTATCCAATTCTGAAACAATTTATTTGATAAGATAAAAAGCAATATGGTTGTATTATTGCGAATTTAAAAACAAAACGTGTCCGTTACCCAGGCCAGATGTTGTCGACAATGGTCATTTGAATCTTATAGATAATTAGTTGTGCGGCTTCTGTAATTGTTGCGCACATTTTTAAATTTGTTGCGCTTATAGTTTTTTAATTATTTCACAAAAACATTTCCTGCTGGCGTAACGTTACCACAGCCAGACCTTTTTCTTTCTAATGGGAATATTTAAATAAATATTAGCTATAAAATTAGTTGTCTAGATAAAGTAAATGTTGTGCCTTATTTTGTATTTGTTCTTTCTTCGGTTGCGAAGTTATTCGAGATTTTGCTGCGGTAACGTTTTTGGTTTTGCTAGATCTTTGAAATGGTTAAGCGGATTCTTATCATATTTTGTACACGACTTCCGAGGACTTAGTTTAAATTTGTTGTGCAATAACAAAACCAAAATAATGCATATTTTAAAGTTTTTTTCATTAAATAGAAAAACACTTAAATTGGCCCCAGCACTCTCAATAAGAAGTCTAAAGACTTACTTTAAACGTAATTTTAAAGCTTGTAACTGCCTTCAAATGTATGTGAAGTTTCATTAGTATCCCGTAAGTATTTAACAAGTTATGATGATATTCAGTTCTTCACGAGCACGGTCTTAATGCACGCGGTGTTATTTGGCCACTGGATTGGATATATGAACTGAATGTTATGTCAATAATTAGTTGTTTAGATCAGTTGTATATCAGTAAAATTTCAGCTCAATACATTGGATAATTAATGAGATAATACTATTAAAGTCATTAGGAAGCGAATGACCGTGGTAAGCCGACCAAGTTTAGGTGGTTACGAAAAAGCGAAAACGCAGAACATTAAGGTACCTTCTAAAATATGTAGGATAGTGTTTTAAATTTAGTACAGACATGTACAAAATTTAAAAAAAAAACTACATGATTATTCAAGATTTTTTATTGAAAGTTAAATTAATCATTTCAATTGAACTTTTACTCCCTTACTTATAAAAACTTGTGTTGCTTAGCAACCGATTAAACATCACCCGTCCTTGTCATTTCTATTTCAAAATGCAGTTCAAAAATCATCTTAAAGGTTACTAAAGTAACCCTCTGGCAAGACTGAGTGCGTTATGCAAACAATGTATTACCCCTTCACCCCACTTCTCCTGCGTCCTACCGAACGGCATGCTCTAGCGGTGATTTTTGATAATTTTGTGGAACTGGAAGATAAAGAAGAAAGAAGAAGAAAGAAAGAAAGAAAAATCATTTATTCGGTACAACACCAGGCACAAACTATACAATGCAAACAAAATAACTATGAATAAAAAAAAATCAAAAAAAGAGCACAAAAATATGTAGATGTAGGTAGGATATACAAAAAAATTCCAATGTTAAATACATTAATAACAGTGTTGTGCCCGATAGCTGCACCAAAAAGGTCCAGTTCAGCATAAATGCCAGACATAGTGCCTGACGCTGATTTTCAACTGAACCTGTGGCTGTGACGCAACGGACGTAAAGCAGTTATAAGCGTGTGAATATAAATGTAATTTTTATGTAAATATAATAAATACTTATACCATCATACATTATACATAAACATATAATAATAGGGTATAACAATTAGGCGGAATGTATTAAATATGATAAAATTATATAGCGTGTGCATACATACTCATAAATAGAAAACTCGGGTACATTATATAATTGAGGCATTTTGCACCACCATGTCAAGCCCTCGCTGTGTATCGATCAGGTATTTTCGCAAGCGTCTTCTAAACGTATCTAATGTATTACTCGATCTGATAGGCGGTGGGAGATTATTCCACACTTTGGAAGCCGCATAGCGAAAGCTGCCTCTAAAAACGGCTGTACCACATGACCTGGTTGTGAGTTGCTGTGAGCATTGCCTTCTTCCACATTCCCGCCGGACCGTAAGCCATTTCAGTTTTTTAAATAAGTAGTCCGGTTTCTGATATTTAACTACACCAAACAAAAGGCAAGCTAGATGCAGTTTGCGTCTTGATTTCATCTTAAGTACAAAATGTTCGTTCAGATATGGCGTTACATGCGTTCTACGAGGAATGTTGTAACAGAAACGAGCGCAAGCACTTTGGACCCTTTGGATGAGCCGATCGGTACGTGCTAACAGGCGTGGACCATACACTGTGTCTACGTAGTTTAGTCTAGAAAGAACTAAGGTCTCTATCAGCTGCTCCCGCAATGCCAGCAAAGAAGATCGATG